ATACTTTCATTTTTTAAACTTTCTATAGAGTATACACGTGTACATAGAATAACATAAAATGATCAGTTTCAAGTAGATGTGAATTATTGAAGCTATTTAAAAAATCAAAGTTGGCAAATTTTGAAGCGGCAACAACTAATCTTGTAACCTTTTGATAATTTTATGAAATTAAACTAAAGATCTTAAACTATAATTCACTATATGACACCTAATGTTGATGAGCGAACAGACTCTGGTAGTAGAGAGTGTGTTTTAGAGTGTGTATAAAATTAGTTATACCAGAAATTAGGAGTTTTTACAATTTTAGGCTTTTACGGGCGTGTACGTACCCATACGAAAAAAAGCCGCCCATGCAAGTGTCGATATCTCATTAAATACAGAAAGAAAGGCAATTAGCTATATCCTATAACGATTTCTGATCGGCGAAAATCACTTATTTCATGCGACAATTACAATTAAATTAAAATAATGGTAAACAGGCTTTATATATCGAGCAACGATTAGCAGCAGATATGCTTATTATAACATAAACCCAGGCGATGCTTATTTATTATTCAGGTTTGTATATTAAAAGTCTTTACTGCAATTTAAGTCTGGTTCACACGAGTGAAATAAACATAAGTAGAAATAGGAAAGAAATCGTTTCCTCTAGGGGTCAAAAAGACAAATTAAAAGACCAAAGGAATCTTCTTTTCCAATGTCTTTCAGCTTTGTTATGCTTCGAGTCTTACGCTTATACTTGTGCTTATGTCGATGTTTATGTCGCACGCTTCATTGCATGCATTTCTTTGTTTTGACATTCCACGGCAAGCTTGTGGTTATTTTCACATGTGTGAATCATGCTTATTTTAGGTCCGCTTAAAGTATCGAACTTTTCATACGCAGAAACTATTGTTAATGAGCTAAAATCTCTGTAAGAGTTCAGTATATAAATTCCATTTGGCACGTAAAAAGTGCGAAGTCTGCAGGAGACGGGTATTATTGCCTTTAAAATTTGACCTTTTCCGAAGAACTTCAGATACCATGTAAACACGCTTGTTGACGCTGACAGTCTATTGTGAAATGTGACCGCCAGCTCCGTGTATGTGCGTTTTACCCAGCGTTAAGAGCTCTTTGATTTCGAGACAAAGGTCCTTTAACGGCTCTTCAAGTGTTAAAGTGCCTATATCACTCGTGGGATCTTTACGGATTTGAATAGGGCTTGAAAAATTTGTTTATAAGTTCTACAACCTTTTTGATAAAATTAAATAGTTTCGAAAATATGTCGGTTGGGGGGACTGGGACTTAGGAATGATTTGCAAACACGCCGTCTTTTATAATGTAAACATGAAGAGTTTCACTGGCGATATAGTTTGCGCTTTTCAAGACAAAAATGCGGGAACGGTGCGTTGTGTATGGCTGTAGCAACTTGGCGAGTTTTTCTCAAAATATTTTACGTTATTGGAAGATCGAAGTAAAATTACAATTGATTATATTGTGTTTGACAAGAACTCGGTTCCTGAGTCCCAGGCCCCCGAGAACGACGAAAATTTAGGCAAATCGTCATGTTTAGATGTAAATATTTCCGAAGTTATTCAACTATATCAAAAAGGGTTGTAGAACCTATAAACTAATTTTTCAAGCTCTATTCAAATCCGTAAAGATCCCACAAGTGATATAGGCACTTTAAAGAGTATCCAGCAAACAGTTGTTATATGGCTGCATTCTTTGATACTCACAGTATAATTATATAGTTTTACTGATGAACTATATAAAGCATACCCAAAGAAATCAATGCCTAATATACTATTTGTTAACGTCGGTTAAACACACATTAGTGAACAGTAATATTTGCTCTGTTTGTTTAAAAAAGAATTCCGATCGATATCTCAGAGACGTACGCCGCCTTTGATCGACAAGGCTAAGAAATTCATATATTTTTTTGTTTTAATCAGTACCAAGAGTAGAGATATAAGAAATATAATCATTCATGATACTATATAATTTATAAACAACGTTTTGTGAAAACCTGACGAGTGCTAACTGCCCAAAATAAATATTTCAGTTATACATACATTCTGGTTTGTCTTTTGGCCGATATCCAGGGCTTGATCCTTGCTGAGTAATCTGAGTTAAAATAGCTCGGTAGTGCAAATGCTGTTACCAAATGAAATGTATTTTGCTTTCATCGTTACATTTCACACGCTTGCATGTTGCTCCCATACGACTGCTATAATTTACATGACACATTTACACAACTTAACGGCAAGTTTATTGACATAATCGAGAGGGCAGTTGACAAGGAGGACAGACTGGATAGTTTATCTACCACAGGATTTTCATAGGAGCTAATTCGTCATAACTTGTCCCAAATGGTTAATTTATTTGGAAAAAGTAGCACGCGCGAATTACGACTTTTGTCTGCTTTTTGCTCGCAGTTTTTCCGCCTGTAGCGAATTAACCTAATTAATTCTTTTACTTTCAGGCAATTTATTACGGAAGGAAGACTTTGATAGCTTGTAAACCACAGCAATCAAAACGAGTGGTTGTTGCAAATAACATTATCATAATTATTAAGTTATAACCGACGAATTTCTTTTGAAAGCTATTGCACTTAAAAAGAAATCCATCGAGCAGAACAGAATATATGAATAAAAACCCCCTTCCCCAATTATCCTTCTAGTTTTGGCCCTGAATATTAGTGAGATTAAGCAAGATGGTTATATAATAAATGCATGACGCGTCTCTAATATTATATGCCACGCCAGTTATTCGCCATTTCGCCGTCCTCCTTGACGTTCGCGTCCTGACTCCTGATACTAAATCTCCCTAATAGTAGGAAGAACCACAGTTAATAGAATACACATGGTTTGGAGACTAAATAAAATTACAATACAACTAATTAACTATAATTATTATTGTCCAGGAATACGCAAAAAATGGTTCCTTTCTCGCCAAATTTACCAATGGCATTCGTCTTGCTAAGCTCATCAACCTTGACTTGAAAAATATGCTAATTGTAAAATTGCTATTGGTTTATCTGCGCAAAATTAGACATGTGATGAGAAAGGAAAATTTTTTTGCATAAATCTACCTCAACATAGTTAATGAGTTGTTTTGTAGTTTTATGTGGTCTCCAAACCATGTATATTCTATTACCTGTGATGTGAACAGCCTATCAGTTTTGTTATGGCGTCTCGTGACGTCATGACGAGATCAGATCAGCTGGAAGAGCGAGCGGTGGAAATACTGAAGGTGTCGAACATGAAAAAGATTTCCAGCGAAGAAGTTCGGATTTAACGTAATAATCGAAAAGCTGGTTTTCATAGAGTACATAATACATACATAAGATAAGCAAATAAGCCTTAAAGAGTATGGTATATTAATAATGACATCGGCCAGATTCTTGGGTCTTTTTTCTAAAACGGATTTGTTACATGCGACAATGTATGTTAAGTTGCAAAAAATTAAATAGTTTGGCAAATTTTCGTCTCAACGATATTAACAAACAGTATGTCTCAAAGTATTCATGCATTACGTAATTGTGTGTAAATATAAATTATACGCAACGTGACGAGACATCCTTAGATGACTCAATAATCAATTGCATCTTGAGTAATAAAAGTAGATCAATATTTGCCAGAATGTGCGATGAAATATTATTCAAATTGAGTACGATTACGCACAGTGTTATAACTTGTTATTATATCTAATAACTTGTTTAAGAAATATACGTACATTTCAAACAACGTGTGGATAAAATATTTTCCAAAAAGTAAAGAAGCCGCTTCATGCAACTACACAAAATACTTTAACTTCATAAAGCGGAATTTGATTCAGTGTAAACCTCGGGTGATCAAATGTTTTCGATCGTTTTCTTTCGTAATACTGTAAAGCTAAGCGAATTTTTACACAAATTTTTAATCGCTTGGGAGTTTACAAACTTTAAATATCTTTTTCCATAAACATTCTCTGGACGGACAAAAGCCATATTTTCTAAAGGCTTTAAACGAACAGCGGTTCAGTTCAGAAGCATTTAAACCAAAACAGTGGATTAAAATTTAATCCAGGATTAGCGCTAACCCAGCTTTGGACAACACCCCCAGTTTTTGAGCTGATCGAATTTCAAAATTTAAAGACCTAATCGCAAAAAAGACGATCGCGCAACATTTTGCACTGAATCAAATGCCTTTGGTCAGATAAATTAATCTTAAATAACCAATTTTAATTTTAATTCATTTCGTACCGTTTTTACAGTGTGAATAATATAATCAGACACTATGGTGACCTATTTACCAAAATGCGGTACACAATTTTAGTATTAACATACCAATAAGTATAAACCATGGCAATGCATTGATTGTGGGGTAAAAGTTGTGCATCAATACAAACCGACTGATGTTGTAGTGTTGAAGTGATTCTTTCAGTAGCATGATGATTTGACTCAAAAGAAGCCTTTCATGCAGCTACTAAGAGTGAATTATAGTTATATTCAGTTTCATAAAAAAAATCAAAAGGTTACAAGATTAGTTGTCGGCTCTTCTAAATTTTGCCAATTTTAATTTTTTAAATAATTTCAGTAGTTCGATTCTACTTGAAACTGATAAATACACATGTATATTTTCTTGCTCGGTTTATAAGTCATTTTAATTTTAAAAAGGAAGGGAACGCTGACACGAAGCCGGACAAGTGAGACAAGTCGGACAAGGACTGTGCACACGAGCGTGGTTTTTCGGGCACTTTTGAGCGTTTTCAAAATAGTTTTGGTCTATTTTATTGTTTAGACGTCTTGTTCACACGACGCAAGAAAAAAGATGCCAATTAAATTAGCTTTAACCTCTATTATGTATATTCACGTGTTTGAAACAGTTTTCGCATGCAAACGAATGTTGAAACGCTCGAAAACGTTACCGTGTGCACATATAGTCTAATTAGCGCCTTCTTGTTTGAACGAGTTTTAATTTCAGTCAAGACTTTTAAGATCCCCAAAGAGTTAGCCGTAGCTCAGTTTATTAATTCAATTACTTAGCTATATAACAGCCATAAAATTCAACTCTCATCGAGATCCAGTTTTTCCAAGCCGTTGGATGAAGACGAATGAAGCGAGCGGAAATGAGAGGAAAAACCTGGTGATGAACAATGGAATCTACGTCGCTGTTACCTTGAAATTCCTACAGATATATGAAAATAGATTTTGGTATGCTGTAATGTCGTATAGACAATGCAAAGTTTATACAATCACGAATGTAGAGACTTCACGTCTAGCCGTACGCGCACGCATCGTTACAAAATAATCGATTTACAAGTTGGAGGGAAAAAATTGATTTAAAAGTTGGAAAGAAAGAGTACTTTATCGTTTTATATTTTCTCAAACATCAACAAATTATATATTTCAAAATTTAGCCTCAATTTTGTACTTGTTTTTTGTTTCAATTTCAATCTATTTCGTTTAAAATTTAACGAAGACCGCATGCAGTAGATTCTTTTCAAATTTCATTCGGAAATATTATAATTATTTTTCTATGAAGAAACGAAGTTAAAGTCATTTTAAACTTTTTTCCACTGAAATAAAATTAAATTTCCAGGGGGAAAATTACCGCCGAAAACATTCCGTTTCCCATTTCGAAGCCGGGAAACTGCTGTGTGTAAAATGCAGCTATATATATGCAATTATAGGTAATCCATGAATTCCATGATCGCTATAAACGCTGTAGTATTCAAATTATCAAGTTTCGCATAAATCGTAATCTTAAAGACCGCATCGTGATCGTTACGTGACTATTACACCCATTCTTTCTATACACTTAAGAATGATTTGAATTACGTGAACTGAAAATCATCGTCTGGGGTAAACACGGTGTTTGATTTGTCATAATTTATATATAATTTATACACTATGCAATGGTGTCTGCAGACGTGGGGATGCATGACGTATTGCTTTCGCGGCCACTCGAACCTTAATCTTCCTGCAACTCTATTGCATGCCATATCGATAAATATTTTTAGTACTTGTGCAAATATACCTTCACTGTTTCTCCTGTGGTATAGACCTGGAAAATTTTCCCATCTTGGCTGGAAGAGACGTTGTAGCTTTTAACAAACTGATTCCCTCCATTGCGTCCTTGGGTACTTATTCCTGTTACCATAGTGGATCTTTGAAAATCAACCTGAAGCCACTGATCAAATCATTGTAAAAAGATGACCAAGACCCTGTTCTTCCATTACGCGGCGTGAAATTTAATCTTCCATTTGCCACACGATGCCAACTATCGTATTCGCTTGATGCCGTGATTTGGTTATCACGAATTTGACCGTTTTCCATCCCGAGAGCCCTCCGAGTGACTGAAATGAGAATATTGTCGAATATTTAACAGTTATTCTGAGAACTCGAGTCGTATATATGCGCCTATTATATACACAAGCGCTGGATAAAATCAACTTTCAAATTTATTCGTAAATTGAACAGAAAAAGAACCCTTTATAATTATTGTAAACCTATATATTTTTAGCCTAGCGTTGAATTCGAATGCTTTTATTTCAATGTTTGTCGCTCTTTCGGTGCACTTTTCCATGTGTTCGGCGCTCTTTCGTGTGCTTTTTTCAAGGAAAATTTGAATTTCATCGTCGCTTAACTCCCCAAATCTTGCCGCCATTTTGTTTACGTTTCTCTTCTTGACACATATGAGCAAATGTATGTGCCTAATAGAGGACCAATCAGATTGCATGTTAGCTCATATCCAGCGCTTGTGTATATAATGAATACTGCCGATATATGTGTTGGACTTTAGAACAAAGTCGACATAACTGCTTTATACAGAATACTATTTCTAACAACGAGATTCGCTATGTCATGCATGGTCAGCTCTTAGATCGAGTTATTATAAGTCTGTCTATTTACAACAAGGGTAAATTTAGTTACCTTTTTCGCAAAGTCTTCCTTCGTAACATTCCAAACATTGACAAAAATATTGTTTGTCTGGAACCCAAATCATGTTTCCACCATTTTGAAATTCATAAACTTCTCCCTGGCAGGTTTCCTTAATGATAAAAGATACGATCGATCATGCTTTAAGCACGGCACAATCCAGAACGAGTCTTTTGGTAATGACTCTTATTATATACACAAGCGCCAGATATGAGGTATGCTGCAATTTTATTGGTTGGCTAGTAGACAGATATTAGCTCATATCTGTCTAGTAGAGAAAGTAAACAAAATGGCTGAAAGATTTAGGAGTTGAGTGAAATAGAAATCTAAGCTTTAGTTGATAATAGCACACCAAAATGCACGGAAAGGGCGACGAGGTTTGTGTACATAATCAAACAGTTATTCTGCTCACCCTCGTCGTATATGGCCGATACTCCCGATAGCCAACTCGGCGGTACGCGCCTCGTCGGTTATCAGCTCATATACGACTCGAGTTCACAGAATAACTGTTAAATATATCCAGTTCTGCCCTACGGATTTCTTTTGCAATTGCAATAGCTTACAATATACAAATGTGTCGGGCAGAACTGAATATCTGATTATTTATATACCCCTCAATTGGGCGGGGCAAATTCTAGTACCGACCCAGTTATTGATATCACTGGGTCGGTACTATATAGGATTTTTCACACGTTAGTCAAAATTATCGGAGGTAAAAACGGGAAGGTGGGTCAATTCCCCCTTCCCCCTCCAGAATAATTTGAAAAATTATTAACTTATCAAATGAACCCGAAACTTGTACGAAAAATGATACGCACAAAAAATGGTTTAATTTTCACTGAGCCTTTCGTTTTAATAGCAGAAACATGTGTGTCCAAGTAACGGGCAATAATAGGAAACTACATCCATGGAATAAAAACACGAATGCGGTCAATTTGTAAGACTTAATATTCATAACTGTTACAGCATAAGCTAGTATTGCTCTAAGCAATGCCAGATGCCAAATACTTATGCGCTTAATGTCGCTCACACTAAATATATATCATTTCCGCATTTTACAAAACTTTGCGACTTTGCGATCTAATGTTGGTAGGCTCTCCTAAGATATGGTGCCTTGCCAATTATTTAATATTAATTTCAAATTGCTTTTGCGTATCAAACTGGAAAATGACTATCCTTGAATGCCAAATAAAATATTTGTAAGAAAAATGGTCAAAAATTCTTACAATGTGACTTCTGTCGACGTTAATCTTGTAAAACGTCCACACTGGTTCGTTCTTGGCAACATCATGTTTGTCAAAATCAGGATCAGCTGTGTCGGTTAGCTGACAGTTGATCTCCTTTTCATCCACTTTTTTCTTGTAATTATATGCAACACAAAAACGGTTTACAGCGCACTGAAGTTCACAAAGTATGTCCATTTCTTCTGTGAACTGAGCAATTACATTTGATTTCAATCGAGATACCCCTAAACACACAGATTACAATATATGTATATATATATATATATATATATATATATATATATATATATATATATATATATATATATATATATATTTATATATAGTGGATCTAGGAAAGGTTGTCCGAAAATATATACATATATACAAATAGTTGTTACATGTGATCACATATTTCCATCACGTGTCGCACTTAATTACGCATGCAAACGCTGCAAACGCTTCCATAGCTGCATGGCAAAGCGTAAACAATGTGACAACAGGCTATTAGTAAAATATACCTTCATTGATTTTATCTGAGAGCCCGTTTATCACCGAATGTCAGCGTTTTCTAATTGATCGGCGATTTACTTAAGGTATAGCTCTGGATGTCTGAGAATTATTTCACATATTGCCAGTTCCTCATGCTGGTAAATTGTTGTTGCTACAAAGTGGCCTGCCAAACTTATGGGGCGACGTAACGTTACCAGTATTAATAAACAGGTTGAAAACGCGATCTACTGTCCTTGGGGAAACAAACAAATCGACAGCAACTCTGGTTGAAGACCTGTTATAAAATAAATTCTGCCACACAATCCCCCATCTTATATCGTCTGAATGCGGCTTAGGCATTTTACAACAAAAATATCTCAACTAAGCAATAACCTTGAAGCAATTTTGCAGCGTTTGCATGCGTAATTAGATATGACACGTGATGGAAATATGTGGTCACATGTCACAACTATTTGTATATATGTATATATTTTCGGACAACCTTTCCTAGATCCACTATATATACATTTATATATATATAATTATACATATATTATATATATATATATAATATATAATATATATAATATATATATATATATAAATCTATTCCAAATAGACTTTTGTAGAACACAGAGTGCTCAATACATAAAATGCAGAGCGTGTTATAACAATTATAAATACAATTCTTTTAATTAGTTGCTACTTTAAGTTTCATGCACTTAAGCAATCATCAGGCAACGTACTAATGAAAACACGGTTAAATTCTCAAACATATCAAACATATCGAGCCATATAAACACTTCTCAAATATCGAATTTTCAAGTGCAGCTTCCGGTTTGCAGAAGAATTTAACCGTGTTTTCATTAGTACGTTGCCTGATGATTGCTTAAGTGCATGAAACTTAAAGTAGCAACTAATTAAAAGAATTGTATTTATAATTGTTATATATATATATATATATATATATATAAATATATATATATATATATAGAATATATAAATATATATATATATATATATATATATATATATATATATATATCGATGTATATCGATATCTATATATAAGAATCGATATATATAAGAATAATATCAGAAGCCTCCCAAAAACATACATTTATATAAAGCTTCAAATCATTCAAATCAAAAAGTTAAACATCATTTGAGAAGAAAAAAAAATATATATTACGTTTCAGGGCACAGCCCCTTCGTCAGAAACGATATAAGATCCTCTCCATGTCATTAAATACCATAGCCCTAACATTTCCATTTTACAGCAATTAATCATCCTCTGACATAAACTAATACTCCTCCCTTAAATTTAAACCCCTTGGAATATAAGTATTCAATTTCTCAATCCAAAAACTTTCCCTTTCAGTGGGTTTATTAACATCAGTGACGTCAATAATTTGCACTAAAAAGTCACTAAACCCTGAATGCCCTGCCTCAAAAAAATGTTCATACAAATGCTGTCCACAAATACCCCTTTGTCCTTTAGCAAATCTATTAATCGAACTCTTATGGTTATTAAACCTTAACCTAAATGATAGGCGAAGTATTTTATAGTACGGTTCGGCAGCGTAAGTTCTATTATAACTATCTCTTTGACTGCAATTCAAAGGGAGTGATTTATCTGGTAACTTGCAAAACTTGTAATAAACAATACGTGGGCAACACAGTGACGTCATTTAGGTTAAGGTTTAATAACCATAAGAGTTCGATTAATAGATTTGCTAAAGGACAAAGGGGTATTTGTGGACAGCATGTGTATGAACATTTTTTTGAGGCAGCGCATTCAGGGTTTAGTGACTTTTTAGTGCAAATTATTGACGTCACTGATGTTAATAAACCCACTGAAAGGGGTTTAAATTTAAGGGAGGAGTATTAGTTTATGTCAAAGGATGATTAATTGCTGTAAAATGCAAATGTTAGGGCTATGGTATTTAATGACATGGAGAGGATCTTATATCGTTTCTGACGAAGTGTATATATATATATATATATATATATATATATATATATATATAAATATATATATATATATATAGAATTGCATATGTTGTGTAATATGATTGAAATCCCATGCAAATGTAATCAAAGCAATTCTAATTAGACTTTGAGTATCTATCTATCTATCTATCTGCGGCCAACGTTTTTGCAAATTGTTGTATATATATTTATATATATATATATATATATATATATATATATATATATATATATATATATATATATATATATATATATACAATATAAATTAAAATATTTATATTCATAAATTTAGATATTTTTATAAATATTATAATTATCTTCTTTTCAGCGGCTAATCTACAAGTGAGATCACGCAATAAATAAATTATATGGTGTATATCACAAACATTTAACAACTATTTTACAACACCGTGCCAATTTCAAATAACATAATACATGCATGCCAGAGGTGATTGGCCAAAAGCAATTTACACCCAGATTGTAAGTCTTCACAAAAGCAATTTTCACCCAGATTGTAACTTCAAAGAAAGCAGGTTAAACCTGTAATAATATTCTAGCACGTTTCCATGTTGACATCAAATAAGTATAAATATATGTTGAACTGATGAATTATAAGGCGCGGGTTAGCGGACCGAAAGCTTTGCAATATTAAATTCTTGGCTACGTGGTGTACCTAGAAGCTAATTTACTTAAATCTGATTAGCCATTTCCCAATCGAGCAGGGTACTTGGTCCAGTCGCGAACTGCAAAGCATCTATGGACTGTTTGGAGGGGAAAATGATTTCAATTGCTAGATTTCCTGTCTCTCCAAACAGTCCATAGATGCTTTGCGATCGCAACTAGTCTCAGTACCCGGTCGATTAGGAAATGGCTAATTAATCAAGCTATAATAGCTGCTGTGTTTCTCGGTTTACTAGTCACCTTCTTGTGAAGGTACTAAAATCGGTACTAAAGTCGATTTGTACATTAGTACAACACACTGTAAATTCAAAAGAGTCGTTTTGACCAGGGCGAGTCATTTCAACACCTTTATTCAAAATGTCATTTTTACTCCTCTAATGTGTCGTTTCGACTCTAATAGTCGTTTTAACTCCGACATTGGGTTAAAATGACAATTTGGAGGACTCGTTTAGTTCTTTTGAAGGGTCACAAGACTCTCGCAAGAGTCAATAGACTCTTCGATAGAGTTCACATGGAGTCATGTGACTCGTTCTTGGAGCCATATGACTCTTTGTTGGAGTGGTGGAACTATTTCTTAGAGTCATTCTGGCTTTTATAACAGCCACTAATATACAAAACAAATAATTTGTTTAAAATGTTAAATTGAGGTCATTAGGCATGTTACATGTATTGCAAATCCTTTGTATTTGAAGCAAATAACCAGTCAACACATTAAAAAAATACTCAATTATTTTGACACAAATACACTTGATATTAGTTGTTATCGTTTCTTCATGCATTGAGAAAGTCTTATAAATTTGTTAAGTTGCTTCTATGTGTATGTTTGTGTCTGTCTATTTGTAAATTAGTTGTGGAACCCCGTTTTTAGAGACATATCTCTGTGTGGTGATTCCAATCATTGCATGTGTGTAGTTCATTTGTAGTTTATGTGTAGTTCATTCTAACTTTTTAACATGGCAAATTTATAAAATAAAATAAAAATCTAAAAAAATATATTACGCTGCATGTATACAGGTTTTATATTTTTTGAAAATGTCAGCTGGAACAGGATATGCACACATAAAAATATATTATACATAAATCCATTTTAATAGTTCTGACTAATGCTGATAAGTATATGCTGATATAAAAAATGACAAATAATCAACTAAGGTTCTGATTGGCTAAGGCAGAAAGTTTAAATTTCAATGAGAACGTCAGCAATTTAACTGTCATTTCGTAAACCTTTTTGTAAAAGCGTTTCATAAACTTTGTGCAAAGTAAGACGGGAAGAAACAAGATATGTGAAGCCCAACAGATAGCAAAGATGAACAGGGATACAATCAAGACCGAAAGCCGTGTAAGAGAAATATTTCATAATCTGCAAGCTTATAAGTGTTTTCAAAGGGTGCGTGTTTACTTTGTTTCTTTCGTATTTGCTTCGCAGTAAGGATGAGCTGTATTTGTATAATTTTCAGCTTTGTATGCCGTCTATTTGTTTAATTTTCAGCTTTTTATGCAAACGGATAAACCTGTGGAGGGCTATTACACCTTTACTTTAACTTCAAAAAGTGTTTTTGAAAGTGTAATTTGAATTTTGATATGAAAAATACACACTATGAAGTATAAAACGTTTAGCCGTCGACTGCGATTACAGAATAAAATAACATTTTAGGCTTTTTCTTTGTCTCTAAAGTTTTGTACTGTTTTAATCGTTTGAAACTTCGATTTTAAACCATCACTTAATTAATTGCGGCTAACATATGGCCATTTACCATATTGATGCCAAGGATCGAGAGTTGAAATGACTCCAAATAGGAGAAAAATCGACGTCAAAAAGGAGTCAAAATGACTCCAAATGAAAGTAAAATCGATGCTAAAGAAAAGTCAAAAGACTCCAAATAAGAGTAAAATCGATGCTAAAGAAGAGTCGAATGACTCCAAATAAGAGTAATATTGATGCCACAGGATAGTCGTAATGACCCCAAATAAGAGTAAAATCGATGCTAAAGAAGAGTCGAATGACTCCAAATAAGAGTAATATTGATGCCACAGAATAGTCGTAATGACCCCAAATAAGAGTAAAATCGATGCTAAAGAAGAGTCGAATGACTCCAAAAAAGAGTAATATTGATGCCACAGAATAGTCGTAATGACCCCAAATAGGAGTAAAATCGTTGACAAAAAGGAGTCGAAATGACTCCAAATAAGAGTAAAATTGATGCCAAAGGAGAGTCAAAAATCAAAATGACTCTTTAAAACGACACTTTTGAGGAGTTAATTTGCATTTTAACTCTTGCAAGAGTCATTTTGAAACGACTCCATGGGTAGTCAAAATGACTCTAGTTAAAGGGTTAAAATGACTCTTTACAGGTGTCAACCCAAAATGAGTCAAAATGACTCTCTTCAAGGAGTCGTCCTGGGGTCAAGAAAACGACTCCTTTGAAGGAGTCAAAATGACTCTTTTGAATTAACACAGGTACTAAAATCGATTTGTTTTCCTGAGAAATGGAACGAACTAATTATATGCCTATTTTACATGACATTTTCTGTCACTACAAGCTATGTAGGTCTTAAAGTTGCCACGGAAGCAAGTAGTATATTACACAAATTTCAACAAAAGCCAAAAGAAGCAAGATGGTATATCTTTGTAAACAAAATTATTCATCACTATAAGTAACGTCGACAAAAAGTCTAAAACTCTCATGAAATATTACTTGTTTCCGGCAACGGCAACATGTACATATATTTTTTGTTGGAATGAGTGTCTAAAGAATGTCATTTGAAATAGTTATTACTAGGGAATGGAATTTACTGTTTATGTATAATTTTTGTTTCCTGCTAGAACTATTCACTTTGAAACAAGGAATGCTAGGAATAAGGCTGAAGTGGAAAACAGCCCTATAACGGCCCACATAAACATAGTAATGCTGTCACTCATAGTAAAATGTTTTGAAAGTAAAAAAACAACAAGAAATTCACTTTACTTACCCTGACGAAGAACGGGAAATTGTTGAGAAGTAATAAGGCAACTCAAATGTAATAATATTGAAGATTGAAACCATCTCGGAATTCCATTGAGGATCTTCATTTTCGCTCGAATATAGCTTACTATTTCTCGTAGAAATAACATAAAAACGTTGCTGACATTAACTGCGTTCCCTTGAAAATTATTGAATTAACGAATTTCGCCAAAAACGGAACAAGCACAGCTTGTCAGAGAAATGTGGAGAAAAACGTCCGAAATTACAACAAAACAACACTCGTTTCCGCGGCAACTGTGAAACAGATATTTTATGGGAAAGTGAAGTAAGTTCGATCATGCAATTTGTGCATGCACACAAATATCCCGCACCTTTTGTTCAGAAATATAATGAAAACATTTGTACTCAAAACCGACATTAAAATTAATTATCTCGCAAAATTTTTAAAGACTTCCCGAGATATTATCGAATCCTTATAAACCCCGAGCAGGCGTGAAATGCCGTGGGTGCATGGATGTTAATTCCGGTGAATGTTGACCGAGGACAGTTTATAACGAAAGTTAACAGTAATATCAGCTGATTATAAGAGGCTTCTGCATTAGTAAAACATGTGTAATGAAACAATTGTTAAAACATGCTTCGGAAGGTTAGGTAGCAATTAAGTCTAATGGGTTTTCAGTAGCTTTTTTTGCCCAAAAACTATCGCGGTGGCAACCGCTTTGAACTCACGACGTCGAGCATCGCAAACCACCATATGTGCATACAATAATAATACCATAATAACGACATTAAGATGACTTACTCCGCCGCGGATAGTGTTTCGTCGTAATACACCGTAGTAAATGTTGTGATATTAAAGATTGGAATAATATTGCGACTCCAGAAAAGATCTTCTCATTTATAAAAGATCGAGTATATTTTAAAAATGGGTTCTCAGCGGTGGCTCTGCGTCTCTTTGCAGGGGTCCAGGGGCCATATTACCTACAAGCTAATGCAAGGCGCCGTTCGAGAAAAAATCTATTAGATTATCTAAAAATTTATACGTTTGCACATTAATGCTATATCTATCGTGTAGTCCATGATGCAGTACCATCCAGTCATTTAAGCTATTGACTGTCTGTGTTTTAGTAATTTTATGTAAACTATATGTTACTTAATAATGATCGCATAAAGTACTTGTAACATCACTTAACAATACAAATATGGCACTATAGTGACCAACTATCTATCAATGCCCGCCGCCTAAGAGTACGAGGAATGAAGAGAATGTAAACATTTTCTTCATGGTTCGATCCTCCGGTCATGATTGAATAAGATATGATTATAATAAAACAACTGAAATCTGAACAATATACCCTTCCCAGGATATCTCCAAAACTATTCCAGGGTTGGATAAGAACTCCTCCTGAGTCGTGATGTCTCCAATCTTTCCTCGTGGGGCATCAGTCAAAAAACGTTTTGAATACGCTACGAAAATAGCGCATGCGTAACGCTTAATTGACTCATCAACTATGATCCATTATACCAGCCGTAGCCAGCAGTGACGCGACCCGTGAGTGGCGGTTCATTTGGCCCATAGGTGAGTAATGTATAGTTCTCATATAATATTGCCGACTGTTGTGGATGATGTATCGTTAGGAATTACTGACTACTTTTATCTTAGTCAAGAATTAATGTGAATAATGGAAAAATCCCGGTCCAAACGGTGTGGCAAATCGGGGTGGGAGGATTTTTACGACTCACCAAGATTTATATAGCTTTGGATTTTGGGAGTTTTATTTTTTATTCAAACGATGTGCGAAGTAAAAAGTTTGACCTTGTGCATTTTTCTTATACGTGACCTTGTATAAAATTAATACTATTCTTCTGATTAATTACACTTCTGAGTCTGATTAGTTGGAAGAACCAGGTCATGTGATGTTCCCGTGTGATAACATTTTGGATTTTATTCATTTAATTTGAGCGTCAGCTTTACGTACGTTTCATATGCCGCCCGCAAAAATCTGTTTTTCAAAAACCGAAGATATGCCTTGCACGGTAGTGCATTTGAGTACAGATTTATTACAGACAATTAATTTACATCGTGATTACTTATTGGTGAAAATGCTAGTCACGACAAATTACGACCAGGAAATGGAAACCTGGGGCCGGTTGTGTCAAGCCCGTTTAGAGTCACCTTGAATACTATGCACTGATTATGTTGATGTAAACAGTATATCTTTGTATTAAGGTAAAAAACATTTGTCTGTAGAATAAAACGGCAGCTTTGCTTTACTATCTTGATCTTACCACCGTTTAAGCAAAACGGGCTTGATAAAACCGGCCACAGGCTTACAAGTTACAGCGAGACTGAGATCGTGTTAGAACAGGCCCGTTTAGTTCCTTCCTTTGAACTTTTCCTTTCACTCATCACTCGCTGGTATTCGTAATTTCGGACACTAATCGAACTCTTTTTGTGGAAGTACATTGCTTGCGCTTTTGTACTTGTGAAATGTGAACAACCTTGCTTCTATGTTTTATTATTTTTTTTATCAACACCTTAATTAACTTTTATACTCAGTAGTTGGCAATCCAGTAAGTATTAAAAATAATGTTTGGATGTGCTTAGGCGTGATATTGAAAATTATCAAGCCTGAGCTGGCGAGATTGGTATAGATAGCACTAATATAATTCTGCATATGCTGAAAACATTATAAATATCCGACGGGAAACACCTTAATATTGACTGTATAACAAGCATTGAAAAAAAAATTGCATTACATTATTATTTCTTATGAACAGCCGTAAAATTCGACTCTCATGGAAATAAAATTTTGCCAAGCGGTAGGATGAAGACGAATGAACCGAGCAGAAATATGAGGAATCACCGTGTGATGGACAATCGTATTCTGATCGTTATTGCCTTGGAATTCCTGTAGATATTGAAATTAAACATATTTATTAAGCGTGTTGTCAGGTTCCATGCGTGCTAATTTTACGCTTTCTTTCTGAAAATTTTTTAATTTTTTGAACGGATTTCATAACGTTTAACTTGTCCTTGGTATATGTATGTAAAATCCCAAGCTTTTTGACGCTAGGAGGAAACATTGTTGCTGAAAGTCAATTAAATAATATAGTTTTGTAAATTCTTGCGAAAAGTAGGTATGTTTTTCTAATTACGAGAATATGATGAAGATACCTTGACTTTTTCTCCTTGTTTATAAGTCTGGAAATTCTTTCCATCTTGGCTGGATGAAATAGTGTAACTCTTTACAAGCTGAGTTTTACCAGGATAACGGCGTCCTTGAGTACTAATTCCTGTAACAAACGTGGTTCGTTGAAAATCAACCTGCAGCCACTGATAAAGATCACGGTGCAATGATGTCCATCCACCTCGTTGTTCACGAAGAGGAATGAAATTTAATCTTCCATTAGCGGCCCGGTGGTTTGCATCCCATTCGCTTGATGCCGTGATTTGGTTGTCTTGAATGTCACCATTTTCCATCCCAAGGGCCTTCTTGCGCACTGTAATAGGAACATTCCCGCATACACAGTGACATACTAGTTATATACGACTTAAAGGCCATTGGTATCGATTTTTTTTACTTAGATTCGTTTTCCAGTATAGATAGTTATCAGAAATAATAATTTTATAAATATAAAACGATGGCAAGGTGGAAAAACGAACAATCTTCCCGCTTAAAATTTGAATTTTGACGGCCATTTTGAAAGCTGCCCGATATTCAAATGGTGCAAAATATATGCAAATAGATTTGGTAACTTCAGGTGTTGGATTGCGCGCGCTAATTTAAAATTACAGTGCTCGAATTATTATGTTTTGTGTGGAGTTATTCTATATTAAGGATATTTCTTTAAACCGTGATGATCGCAATTTGTCCAGTTTTCGGTAGTAACAGCGACAGTTACAAAAAAAACGCGAAGACAAGGATAGCCACCTATTCGCATTTCGCAGAGGGCACTCGAAGGAGCAAGGAACCAGACGTAAACTGTGGGTTGAATTTTGTAAGCGTAAAGGTTTTAAACCAACAGGAAACACCAGGATTTTTTTCTCTGCACTTCGCTGATGATTCGCTTGATCCTGCACATTCGCCGATGTTTTTAAAGTCGATTGGATGTGCAGATAAAACGTTAAGATCCTGTTAAAAAAGACGCCATACCAACATTGAAAAAACCTATGGAAGAAACAATGGAAAAGAAACTAAGAAAGGCTTCAGAAGAAAGGCAGCGAAAGAAGGTATTATATTAATGGCATACGTTATTATATTACATTATTATATTAATAGAATACAATATTATATTTAAATAACTTCTTCTTACCATAAGAGTCAACTTACAAGGAAATCATGAATCATACCCTGACAAAGCAAAGTGTATGTTGTAAAGTAGTTTTAAAATCGAATTCAATTAAATTTATTGTGCGTATAGTAATTCGCACGTTTAAGAACAATTAGAGTGTCTCCTTTTTGGTACACCCTGTACTAGTGTATACGTTATATACCAATATAAAATAAATTGAAACCCAAGAAATTTTTTTTATATAGACCATTGAAGATATGCTGGCGATCAGCCAAGTACCTATGGAGACAGAGCACCTACCACCAGTTGATAAGCATATTGGCTTTGAAGACTACCCTGCAGAACATATCTCACAAACACCCAGTGAAGATATCGAGGAAAAGTTGATAAACATTGATAGAATTTCAATATCAACCTTTGATTTGGGAACAGAGCAAAGCAATTTGAAAATGACTGTCACAAGCAATTATGTTTTGAAAGATCAAAGAAAGTAAAAACAGTAAAATCAAAACTGTGCAACAATTATACTCAAACAGACTTGGATCCAAATTTAACATTCTTTTCATATTCAATTACAATCATCAGATCAGATATTCCAGATAAAAGAATTGTTGAATGCACCGGCATTAGACAAAGTACACCGCCTGTCACAGAATATAAATGAGGATGTCATAATGGCAAATGCATGAATACAAAATCAGTTCGGGGTTGTTTGAATAATGAAGATGACAATAATAGTGAATGCATGAATACCACCTCAATCCAGAGTGATGACAATATTGACAAAAGTTATACAGGAGATGGAATTTTGGCTTGTCAGCTTGCAAATATAGCAGACAATACAGAAAGTCAAATGGAGAATGAAGCTCTTGCTAATACCACAAGACGTGCAAAAGTGAAAGATCCAGATTTTCTACATCTAAATCTCATGGTGAGGAAAGTGATGGTGAGGAAAGTGATGGTGAGGAAAGTGATGGTGAGGAAAGTGATGGTGAGGAAAGTGACGGTGAGGAAAGTGATGGTGAGGAAAGTGATGGTGAGGAAAGTGATGGTGAGGAAAGTGATGGTGAGGAAAGTGATGGTGAGGAAAGTGATGGTGAGGAAAGTGATGGTGAGGAAAGTGATGGTGAGGAAAGTGATGATGAGCGTGCGGTAGAGAAAGAGAACCACAATATAAAACAAACTGTAATTAATTAGGGGAAAACCAGCCTCAGAACAAATGAAAATTGTTGTATTTGAGGAGGCCCTTTTAAATGCATTTGAAAAATGTCATCAGCGTTGTTCAATAATTATGTACTATTAAATTGGAGCAACAAATTGGCTCACTTTCATAACATACACATTTCCTGCCCAAATGACAGTAGACATGACTTTTGATGGTCAACGGGTCCAATTATTTACTGCGTACCTCTTTTTCACTTGCTTCATGCTGCAGGAATAATATGTAATTGGCTAAAAACAACCAAGATGCTACGATTATTTGATTCTTTGAAAATATTTAACATACACCAGAGAGCAATATTAAAAATTATGAAAGTTTATGCAATTCCAGCTGTGTTTTAAATTTGGAAGAGAGAGCAAAAAGCTAGAATCAAAGAAATAAAAGGAAAATTTAATCTGTTACAATTGCCTCGGACATGCGTGTTGAAAGTCCTGGCCATTCTGGACTTCTAGGATCTGGGAGCACAATGAATGTTGAGGACAATGTTGTACTTGACACACAAGTTATAAAGGTATGTTTAACAATAGATAATTAATAATTGACTGTACAAGGGGTAAAAGGTTGATGGGAAATTCAACTCTTCTTCTCTGGAAGGAAAATATACAGTTCACTGAGTTCAGTCTTACTGTTAATAACCTACATAATATTTCACAATTATATAGTCCATTGAGGTTAAAAATGCGAATGCCATGGAGTTGGAATAATTAAAAAGACAGATAAAACTCATGAAAGATGAAAATTAAACATAAAAGAGCTTATGACAGATAGACACCCTCAAGTATCAGCTTATATGGCCAATGAAAACCCAGATGTCCTACACACATATGATGTATGGCATGTTGCAAAAAGTGAGAACATTCAGAATCAAAGCATATCTAAAAGTGAAACTTTAGCAGTTAAGTAAGTGTTAAAAAAAATGCAGCAAAACTTTCAATTCCTGATAATTTTAAGGTAGGGGAGCTGCCAATATTTTAGTTTTGAATTATTTGGGATAGCAGTAGATTTATCTGGGATAGCATGAGCAATAATGTAAAAACTGTTTAAGAGTAACGTTAAATATACTTTTAGGTGAAAAGAAAAAATGACAAAAGCAGCCAAAAAGAAGAAGTTCAAGTCATTAATTGAAACCATGGATAGGAGTATGTCACTCTGTTGCAAATATACTCTTCAATTAAGACTGAAAAAATACAACTTGCTGTCAATTTGTTCTGTATGGTTACATGCATCAGAAATTTCATCATGAATATTCAAAAATAAATTATTGAGAGACATTTCTACTCATGCCTGTTACAATACTCCATTGCCAGTGTCCAGCAGCAGCAAAACAGCTAGGTGATGAGAGTGAAGAAAAATGGCTAAGCATAACTAATCATATTGCCAATATCTATGTACATCCTGGAAACAAGATCTCCAAAAAGTGCTTACATGGTGAAATTGAGCGAGCATGGATAAAGGAAGGTTAAAAACATTATCATACAGTTGAAAATAAATAAGTTAATCCCAACAAATAAAATGTTTCTGTGTACGATAACATATGTATACTATATATAATGTTTAGATAGTTTTTAAAATATTTTGTACAGTATTATTATACTGTTAAAATCTCCATTATAATGGAAATAGCAAAAGAGAACAGGTTAGAACAGATGGAAAACTCAGTAAAGCATTGCTTATCCTATATAAGGCATTCAACAGAGAGAAAGCAGTCGCCGAGCCAGTTAAGGAAAAGCCATCTTATGCTAAGTATTGAAATGTAGTAAAAATGGTAAATCTGCATGTAAGTGTTAGATACATAAGTATACTTGGAAAGTTCCTGCTTCATATCGAATAGCATATAATACAGGGTTAAACTGTTGGGAATTATAGAATATATCAAACATATACTTCAAGAAGCATTCAAGTTGAGGCTGTATATACCCAAAATTACAGAAAGCAAGAAATTGTGCAAAAGAAAATGCTAACAACTGAACCATGCACGCAGCCTAGTTGAGAAATATTTGGATGGCAAAGAATGACAGGTGAAGGAAAGTGTAATAGCAGCCACACATAGCCGATATATTTAACGAGCAATGTCACTGCAACAAAGAGATTATATTAGTTGTTCCTGCAAGGGTATGTGTGCAACAATACGGTGCAGTTGTCAAAGCAATGAAGTTAGCTGGAATAGCAAATGTGAATGCAATAAGTCAAAATGCAAGAATAGTAGCTGCTAAGCAGCCTAAGCTGCATGATTCCAAACATTTAAAAGGTGAATTGAAATAATCAATTATTGCCTGTCGTGCACAATGTCCACTCGCCATTATTATAATAACAAGTACAGTACGTATTTGCAACTCACATATTTTTGTCTTTATCTTGTTTTTGCCTTGCATATTTAAAGTGTGTGTCTGGTGAGGAAAATCTTTCAAAAATCTTGGTATAAATGCAAGACGAGAAACGGCGTCTAACGTTCTTGCCCAGAATACGAAATATCCACCGCGAGGATCTTCGATAAGCAACCAAACGGTACAATCTGTATGTTCGTTCCAGATCGTCATCGCCAACTGGCCAAGTTTCCTCAAAATAACGACATGCATCAATTTTGAGGACCATTTCTCCTCAAAACAAAAACACTCTTCAACCTTCTTACTAATGCTACAATTTCCACAGGTGCACCACCGCAGCAACTCAAGACGCCACTTATTTCGCTCGTCAAATACTTTATTATTTATGAGAACTACAGTAATAAAACACCTCAGACCAAGAACAATGGCTACCTGTTGTGATTTCTTTTTGAAATCTGAAACCCAACACCTGACGTCACACAACAGATTACATAAAGAAGGATATAATTTTTTGAAAAAATGCTCAATATGGCCACCAAAATTCGAATTTTAAGCGGAAAGATTGTTCGTTTTTTCCTACTTACCATCGTTTTATATTTATAAATTAGTATTTCTGCTAATTACCTATACTGGAAAACTAAT